AAGTAAAATGAAGTTTTAAAAAAAAAGAAAACTGTTTTCAAGTTGGGAACCAGCTTTCATTATTTAGTGCTTTTAATACTTTTAAAAACATCTTTAAGATCGAAAAAAAAACCCTTGGTTTTAGTTAGGGTTATTTTTTATGCCGGTGTTTCGGAATTCATATAGTCTTGCATTATTCAATACAAAATTTCCTTTCTGATCTGATGGAGTTTGCATATCATATAAATTTATAATATTAGTTTATAATTTTATTAAAATAAATATTCGTGAAATCCTTTTATGGTTTCGCTTAGGTTTGTTGTCATAGAATTTATCTAGGTGTCCTTTTGCAAATCTTCAAGTCGGACACCTTCATCAGAGCAGGATAATACTAGGAGCTCAGAACAGACTGAATATCAAATAATAAAAAAATATAAATAAAACATTGGGTAATACAAGTAAATTAGATGGATAGTTAGAGAAATGACATTATGCTTATGAAGTAGCTGCTCGAGGAATACTTATGACTTTTTGTTCTATTTTGTTCAGTAGAACCTAAGGCTTCCCATCATATAATATAATAAAATAAAATATAATAATCATTTGTTTCTCTAGTCTATAAAGAAAAATATTTCTTACTCGTATAAAAAATAACTTCTCGATATACCGGGCATGATATACAAATCTGAGGACTGCTCAAAAAATTAATGTTATCGTATCACTCAACCATCAAAGTGCTCGTTTATAAATTCACATTTACAACTGAGACTTCTAGTACTTCTATGTGATACTTTATCAAGAATCTTCTGTCATTTGCTTTCCTAGATGTCTATGATTAAGATAATTAATCTATTCTGTCTCTATTCCTTCGAGGAAAGAGCGAATAATTCTGCCTATCAGTCTGTTATAATTTCATACCTACCAAATCTTTTTAAAAGTTAAAGTTATTAAAATTATTTCTAAAAATCCAGGCAGCAGCTGTGTTTATTCTAACTAATTACTTTTCAAATTAATTTAGATTACCATTATTATTGAGCAAGAAATGATCAAATGCCTCCGTAAGCCCGTCCCACCAAACATGCTCGCCCTTTCAGCCGTGGGGGTGTTATAATGTGACGGTCAATCCCACTATTCGTTGGTAAAAGAGTAGCCCAAGAGTTGGCGGTGGGTGGTGATGACTAGCTGCCTTCCCTCTAGTCTTACACTGCTAAATTAGGGACGGCTAGCGCAGATAGCCCTCGTGTAGCTTTGCACGAAATTCAAAACAAACAAACAAATAAAATCTCCGACAGAGAACCGAGGGCGGCCCAATGGTTGGTGCTTCTGACTACATATCTGAGATTCTCGTCCTGTTACCACCAAAACAAAATTGCGCTCTGTACTTTGATGCTGTAGGACGTTATAAGAGTGTCAGTCAAATCCCACTATTTAGTCTCAGAAGAGTAGTCTAAGAGTTGACAACGGGTAATTTTGACTAGCTGCCTTTTCTCTAGTCAAGCATCTGAAAATTAGGGACGGCTAGCACAGATAACTTAGTACTAGCTTTATTTAGAACCTAACACACACAAAAATGGAATTGTAAAATACAACCCCAATAAGAACACATTATAAAGTACAGTCACAAATGTAAACTCCAAATCTTAACTCAACGAAGTAGTTTTTCTGTATCTTTTCAAATTTCAGAAAAACCAATAGAAATATTGAATAAAATACTACGTTAGCTTTTAACTTAAAAGCTTCAGATTATAATTGAAGTAAACCTTTAATCGAATTTGGATGTAATAGAAGGTACGTAAGGAACTTGTAGCTGGACAAATTTAACAGTTTATTGGTTGTTAAGCGCAAAACTGCACAATGGAGTATCCGTGCAATGTCCACCGAAGGGCTCGAATTCCGAATATGAGCGCTATAAAATCTTAAGCTAACAGTTAAGCCATTCAGATATAGATTGATCTCAGAAAAAAAATATTTACAATGCTTAATTTGCAAGATGTATTCTTCGAAAATGAATGGTATTTGTATCTTTTAATATTTCTTATATTTTCTTTATTTTCTTATTTGTAGGTTTCTGAGTAAGATGTCGTCCTTAGGAGCCCCTTTGATGTGTAATAACATACCAGGTTTTGTTCAGAAACAGCGCCGTCTGTGTCGAAAGTACCCAAATGTGATGGCGAGTATCAGCAGGGGAGTAAGATCAGGCATAAAAGAGTGCCAACACCAGTTTCATAATCATCGATGGAACTGTTCAACACTTGACAAAGACACTTCAGTGTTTGGAAAATACATGCTTAAAAGTAAGTGCGGGTGGAATCCATTAAAACAAATTAGTAATTATATTCTTAATTACTCTTGGTTTTAAACAACAAACTATCCCTAAACTCTAGATGTCCGATTTAGGATAGTAACATAGTTTTATAGTCAATCTTTTAACAATATATATATATATATTTGACTAAAATAATTTGACATTTCTAAAGAACAATATAAGTGTACACAATATTGTCCATATTAATATTTTATATAATGGAGGTATTCCATAAGGGCTGACAATAAATATGATATTTTTCTCTTATTAGGATATATATTATTAGCTATTGTATACATTATTTATATCCTTACTAATATACATATTTTCGAAAGGAAAAAAAAAACTAGCTTAACTGGGATGACTGTTCCTGTATTTTATTCAAGCTTTGTTAGTGCAACTAAGAGTCCAATGAGTCTAAACAATTTAGTTTAGAGATACCTGGCTAAGGAAAAGATTAATTAATCGTAGAATTCAAACAATCTTCCTGACATAATATCTGACACGATTCATGTAGCACATTAGGGTTTAAACAAGCTTCCCGTGAGAATTCATGTAAATTTACTTTAGATGTTTTTCTTCTAGTATAGAAGAAAAATTTGATTATCTAGATTTTTATATAAGCATAAAAAGAAGAAAGTAAAACATCCACTGCATGCTGTCTTGTCCAAAACCCTAAAGTACACTGTGTATGTAAGTCACGGTAGGACAACTTGTTTTCTAACACATTATTATGGTGAAGTAAGTTCGAGATTTTAAGTTTTCCCAAATAATGTTATATTCCTATTAATGAAATGACAATCACTGACTTTGTACTAAAATGTTGAAATACCCTATTATGAAATTGTTTTGATAATACTTGTAGGTCCTTAAAGGTTACAACACTTATAAACTGTATCTAATGATATCCGTTGACCATCTCGAGACTGAAAGATGTGCGATGTTATCCTGAAAATAGGTCAAGATCGTTACATTCGAAAATGTTCTCGGTTTGATAAATTACGGTGAGAATTGGTTATAACGAACAGAGGCAAACAAAACACCAAAAACATTATCTCCGGAATTTGTAATTAATTAACTAAATATATCGAAAATCTCTAAAAATAAAGTTGTTGATGATATGCATTCTTAAAACTTTATCATAATATAAATAAAATTCATTCAGTTCAACTCTTTTATAATACTGCAAGCTTCAGGAGAGATTTTGTAACCATGGACGTCGTTCACTGAATTTACTGTTAAAACTCTGATAACTCAGTTTTCTTTGCCAAGTGGTACAGTCAGACTTACGTTTGATTTTAACACTAATTCAGTGCTTTTTTTTTCTTCGAAGAAATAAAAAGGAGTCGAAACCATTCAAAATATATCTACACATGTGACGTATAAAATAGTTTATTACGTCATTGTAAGGGTGAAAACTACAGTTCTAACGAAGCTAATCTTATCTTTGTGTGTAACATCAGCTGAGTATTATTTTACTTGGAGAACCTTTAAATCAGCATGTAATCCTTTAAATTATAGGCAGTAGACCATAATCAGTTTTATATACTACATATGACAAAGAGGTGTTTAAATGACTGATCACATTTCAATTTTGATTACAGAGATTCTCATGTAGCCCCTTCCCTTGCGTATAGAATAGTTTTTCAAATTCTCGAGACAAATTTATCACACCTCAGTAGTTAAGAAAAAATAACAGTTATTTACTTCTGTTTCTCCAAAGTTCTACCACTTTATACTATAAGCTTAAAAGGAACAAACTGAGTCTTATCACCTTTACTATTGATGTTTCTTTTCATTCATGAATCACTGTATGTTTTTGGCACGAGGATGCAGTGGAGAGGTTCAAATAACGTAGCAAGGAGACCTCGACTTATAATTTGCTAATTGCTCCTAATGAACAACAGAATAGTGCTAATGTCATCATATGACATCGCTAACAAAACAGCATTTATATTTTTATATCATTCTTTAACTCAGCCAGAATATCCCCATTTTCTAGATATAACAGGATGACCTCATGAAAAATGATTATTTCAGTCATAATCTGATCGCATTTCAGTCGGTAGCCGAGAGGCTGCGTTTGTGTACGCTATCAGCTCCGCAGGTGTTGTGCATTCCATCACCAGATCATGCAGTCGAGGAGAGCTCCGCAACTGTGCCTGCGACCCTAGGAAAAGAGGAACCTATCGAGATGCTCAAGGAGAATTCACCTGGGGTGGTTGTTCTGAATATATACGCTATGGTACCAAATTTACTCGGAAATTCGTGGATGCCAGAGAACGCCGCCAGAGTGACGGCCGAGCAAAGATGAATGTCCATAATAACAGGGTTGGACGAGGGGTGAGTGTGAACTAAACAGTACACAGCATAATATAATTTCTTTGTAAACAACTATTGTTTATTTGTGAAGGGTGTATACAATGTATATGATACGTAGACTATGTTTTTATATACTTTTTTTTCTGTTTGGTTTTGGTACACGTCTAACTCGATTAAGGACACGGAATCTTCAAGTTCAAGATAAAACAATCCATAGTTTATTGGTAAAATAAGACAGAAGTCTAAAATATATTTTCTGTTTTTATTATTATAAATATTAACATCGTATAGATTTTACCTCAAAGCTACTAAAAATGTATTATTTCTAAACGTATTTTGCTTCTGAGTTGGCCCGAAATGGCCAAGTGATTAGGGCGCTCGACTCGCAATCTGAGGGTCGCGGGTTCGAATCCACGTCCCGCTAAACATGCTCGCCCTTTCAGCCGTGGGGGCGTTATAATGTGACGGTCAATCCCACTATTCGGTGGTAAAAGATTAGCGGTGGGTGGTGATGACTAGCTGCCTTCCCTCTAGTCTTACACTGCTAAATTAGGGACGGCTAGCGCAGATAGCCCTCGTGTAGCTTTGCGCGAAATTCAAAAACAAACAAACAAGACTCTTTCAAATTCTATGTCTTCTTGAGAAATTTTGAAATGATTTTAATGTGTCAAATTCGTATTCCTTTAACGTTTTCTTCATTGCTGTTTTTCCTTAGTGCTGTGCCCACAACTAGTATTGAAACCCGGTTTTTAGCGTTACAATCCTCCAGAATTTCGACTGTACCAAGGGCTCATTCGAAGGGTATCTGATTTGTTTATCAATATGGAATCTACGGCTTCCTTCCCATTTAATCGTTATTGTTAGGAAACACTTTTCTATGAAATGTATAATTTTCAGAATGATTTAGTACGAAAACAAACACAGTCTTTATTCTAATTTGTATTTATGAACTTCACAAATTTTTATACCAGATGAAAATTTTGCTCCAATAACTAACTCGACTTCAACATACATATCCAAATTTGTTTATCAACAAATCCAATTTTTTGCGCAAGGCTAAACAAATGGTCAGCGGTGACCTTGAGGGCTTAGAATGCTAAAAATCGGGGTTTCATCGCCGTTCCTAATTTGAAACTGATAAGCTAGAGGGAGCCATAAATAGTCGGATTCACAGTTCGAGCACACTAATTACTTAGCTACACCCGGCCATTAACAGTTTAGAAAACTGTCACAAGATAAACATTAGGACTGACAAAAACTATTATGTATTTTAAAATACTAATCAAAGACAAACTAACATTATATTTAATCTACAAACAATGGGATTCGTCTATTTATTTAGAGCCCCCCAATGGCATAGCGGCTAGGCTACGGACTTACAACGCTAAAATCCGGGTTTCAATACCTGTGGTGGCCAGAGGACAGATAGCCCATTGTGTAGCTTTGTGCTTAATTACAAACAAACAAACTATTTAATTAGAAGGAATTCATACCATGTCCTTTCAAACAAAATTGAAAGCATAGTGACATCACTCATTATATATATATATATCCTAAACTGATAATATTTAACAGTATTTCAGTACATATATCAATATGATATAGATTTTAAAAAATTGGGAAGTCGATGAATTAATTCTATTACAACCTCGGTTTCTGAGATAAGAGCGCCATCTTGGTTCGGCTAGCTTAGAAGATTTAGCTTAGTTCTATATATATACGATGACCAGGCCATGTTGGGAAATGTTTAGCATGTAGATGTTCCAAAATATCCTCTATATCGAACTTTATGGTAATTAGACCATGTTGAGGAAATATTTACCTTGTATTTCCTGCAAAATATTCTCTCTCGAAATTTAAGATTTCAATCCACAGTTTTTGGATGTTTTCTTTATGAATTTCTCTAGGAATTACTTGCTAGATTTGGTTTTAAAACAGTATAAGGTTACAGATTTCAAGGAAAAATATTGATTAAAATTACCTATATAGATAAGCCTTCTTTCTTCGGGAGTGAAATACATAAGAAGTAGTTTAAAAATCAAGAGCAGGGTTAAGTACAAAACTGTAGAGTACTAGTAATGCTTTGGGATCACGTTGTCTTTGACAGAGAATTAAATCAAGATATTTAGAACACATTTATCCTGCAACATTGTGGTCTGTGAATGCGCAAATTTTTCACCATGATTTATCAAGCTGTTTTATTATTTAACATTAAGATAAGTATTATGACAATTATACCATGATCATATATATATAATATTTATAAATCGGCTCACAAATTCCTATGCTAGTATACTGGTACTACCTCTAAAAAATCTTTCCGTTATAGTGAACCGGCTGGAATTCGAGTCACCCCCTGGAAACAGTGATATAGGTTATTTTTATATACAGCAAAATGTCAAGTAACTTATTTCCTATTCAAACAGGCTGTCACGGCACTCGTGAAGCTCCAGTGTAAATGTCATGGTGTGAGTGGCTCATGCGCAGTTCGCACATGTTGGGTGGCCATGGTGAACTTTCGGGAAGTTGGGAACTACTTGAAGAAGAAGTATGATAGTGCTGTACAGGTGATGATGAACCAGGCAGGCGATCATCTCATAGTTGCCAACAAGAACCATAAACGATTTGTTAAGTCTGACTTAATATATTTTGACGACTCTCCAGACTTTTGCAACAGTAACGAAGAAACAGGTAGGTTTCATTTTCAGTTATCTGCTAACCCAGACGGAAACCTTTACCTGTGTTCCTAGAATAATATCATATGTTTTTTTACTGATTTAATCAGTCTCTAACGCTACTTTTGTTAATATTATAGCACAAGTATGAAATCTAAAATGGTACATAGAGGTTACTTTTATTGTATAAATTTTTAGCTAACATATGTTCTTTGTTTGTTTGTAGTGTTGCTTGCAAGAATAATATGTTTATGATAACAAAGTCGGGTGAGAAACTGAAACTGAGAGTGCTATAATGCCATCCGATAATAATTTAGCTATCAGCATTGTACATGAACTGTGCCATATACTATTTGTTGTAACTGGCATTAAGGCACGGTTGAAAAATGTGAACAATACATAATACGTGCTACAATTATCAATGTCTCATGGAGTCTGGATTATATCGTAATATTAACGTTTCACGGAATTTTATCATTTACCTTACGTAATAAATATTTTAATATTTTTTTTTATTCTGACGTAATGAGATAGATTTATACAGTTGTAAAAAAAATGTGTACAGATTTCCCATTATTCCTGGTAACGCAGTGAATCAAAACGTAGGGAGCTACAAAGCTAATGGCTGTAGATTTTTCTCTACCTTTTCTGAAGCCATATTGCATTGGTAACAAAAAATAAAGGTGAATAAATAATAACAAGGAAAGCTTTGTGAATATTTTGCTGTAATGTTTTAAACAAACTCGATTAAAGATAAAACATTAACTCCTAATTTTCAAATACTTTTTGTCGCTGTTGGATAAACCGTTAAAGATTAAGTAGACTTTGTTAAATCCTTAACACATCTAGAATCTTCTAAGTTTACGCATTCGTCGTACATAATTTCCAATCTCTATTTCTCCGGAATCTTAGGTGGTAGATTTAGTTTATAATTTACGTTTTGGTCTGGGCGTGACTTAATGATTAGTCTGAGGGTCTGTAGATCAGAGGATCCATGTTTCACGTTCCATTCCCGAAAAAATCGCGCTCCGTCCTTGGGTTCTTGAGTGTAATATAAGAGTGGCAGTCAGTTTCCACTATTCTGTTAGAGTAGCTCAAGAGTTGGCGTCCGATGGTGTTTACTAGCTGCCTTCCCTTTAGTCTGTTAGTTCAAATTTAAAGACAGTTAGCGCAGAGAGCCCTCGTATGGCTTTGCGCAATTATCTGAAACAGACGTACAATTCACTGAATTTCAGGGATCTTATATGATACGTTTACACACGTAAAAAGGTTTATTTATAATTTACGTTTCAAAAGAATTCCTGAGTTTTAGGTAGTAGTGGTTTACTTGATCAAATAACTAGCCTTCCTTACACGGCATTGCCCGGGTATTACCTGAAAAGATGTTTAGCTACACAATGAGCTATCTGTGCTCGGCCTACCACGAGTATCGAAACCCGGTTTCTAGCAGTGTAAGTCCGGAGACATGCCGCTGTGCCACTTGGGGTTAAGCATGAAGGATCAAAATTTCGCTTTTCATGAAACAATACATGTCAAATGGTCATATTTTCTGTGAGATAAATGGATTAAGAGCTTAAAAAATAGAGAAAATAAATTAAACAATCGATTTATTGTCTAGTTCACCCACCCCCCTTAACAGTCATTGCAATGGCTCTGGATAAACTACATTTTTAGTTCCTCGTGAAGTCTCACTCTGTCGCTTTTGTTTTGCTGCTTGTGATTGGCAATCAGAATTATTTTTCCTTCCTCGACATTTTACTCTGAGATACATAATCAGCGTCAGAAATGTTTGTCACACCTAACTTCCCTCCCGAAATAAAGTGAATAAAAATCAATTTATTTTTGCAGAATTTTGCGGGTTCAACTTGTCTATTCTATAAAAACGTTAGTTTTGTTTGTCGGTAGTTACAATCGCGCTTGATGGATTTTCATTGTGACACCACAACGGCATCACACCTCTCTATAAAATACACATACATTTTTCTGACGTTATTTCCACTTAAATATGACCAAAAATCCGCTCCGTCTTCAGTGGAAAAAATTCGATTACAAAGATTTCATTGACACTATAAATGTGACGTCACAGACCTTAAAGCTGAATACGCTGATTCCATATATTTATAGGCCAACTATTATAGAGGCTGAAAGGTGCGAACAAACAGGCACAAACTTAGCTTGAAGAAAAGTTTTGCATCATTCGTATCTCCTTCAATTTTTTTTTTTATGAAATAAGGTCAAATCTGTTTTTGTTTTTTGTTCTTGCACCTGTAATAACGACTTTTTTAAAAAAGATTTTTGATCGATTTGAAAGTCAGAAACTTTATTTGTTCAAACACACAATCACTGAAAGAAATATGTAAAATTATACACAGACTTTTCTCTACGTTAAAATACTTTTATTTGCGAGCTGTCGGTCCTCTTACCGGATTCTTCATCGGACAATAATGTACTGAGCGATTTAAAATTCGTTAGCTGTGGAAAACACTCAACGTAGAAAAATCGAGAAAGCCTTCCAAGCACAAGACAGCGGACAACCAGTGAGTATTAAACAACGGCCAGCAACTACTCAATACTGTATGGACACCCCTATTTGTCGTAGTAAAATTAAACCTTTAATTTTACAGTATATTATTTAAAGTATGAAATATTCCTTTAATTTTCTCTACATAATAACTATAATTGTATTTTCGTTTTGTTTATTATATCGAGGCAATCGATTTATATTTTATATTCATCATAATTATATGTATTTAATAACAGATGTCAGTTATTGTTACGACTGTTGCCTGTAACTGATCACATGGTAACAGATTATTTTCTTTTTGTTTGTAATTAAGCACAAAGTTACACAATGGGCTATCTGTGCTCTGCCCACCACGGGTATCGAAACCCGGATTCTAGTGTTGTAAGTCCGCAGACATACCGCTGTGCCACTGGGGGCATTTTAAAACGGAGTTCCACAGTTAATAAATTTCTATCTCTCATTATATTGTTGCACGATGAAGGCCCTGGTAAGAAGGCCGAAAGCTCGCAAATAAAAGTCCATGTATAACTCTACATATCAATTTATGAGTTTTAAAAACAATCACTGAAAGAACACTTAAACGATTAAAATGCAAAAATACAATTTTTACTACAACTTTTTTGATTGATATATAAGTCAATTTTTTTTCTATATAAGGTTTTATTTGTAACAATAACTTTATAATAAAATTCCTTAACCTCACACACACATATTTTGAAAAATAGTTTTTTAGATAGAAACGAATAAACATTTAAATATAATCATTTCCGCCAACAATATGAATCCTAACACTTTTATGCATGTTTTTTCAAACCTGTTATTACTAAACTGTTATTGTTTTACATTATTGGTGGAAATATATACATACAAACAAACATTTAAATATTATCATTTCCGCCAATAATATGAATTCTAACACTTTTATACGTGTTTTTTTTAACCTGTTATTACAAAACTTCTATTATTACTACACTTATTCCCTAACAATTTGTTGTACCAAGAGACATATGGCAGCGTATGCTTCTCTCTCTTTTTATGGCTTAAGGATTATAGGTCCAGAAATTGTCCAAAATATATTTGAGATAAAATAATACCTTGGTGCATACCCTCAGAATTCCCTTAGTATGTGTGCAAAGTTTCAGGTCTCTAGGTTCTTTCCTCTTGGAGCTATGGCGCTGACAGACTGACACACATATAGGCTGTATTATTAGTACAGATGTAGTTTATAATATATATTTGCAGGACCTTAGATATATTTACAAGCTAATAAAGCACATTAAATATTCTGTATTTTACAGGATCTTTGGGAACAGCTGGAAGAGAATGTAACAAACTTTCCGTAGGTACTGACGGCTGCGAGATATTGTGCTGTGGGAGAGGGTATAACACACGGAGAGCGTTACTGGTGAAAAAATGTAACTGTAAGTTTCAGTGGTGTTGTTTTGTCGATTGCAACGAGTGTCACGAGTGGAAAGACATTCACGTGTGTAAACCTGTTGACAAATAAGCATTCATAAAAGGCACGAGTGGATTGCTGCAGAAGGTAGAAGTAAGTTAACATTTGGCAGGACTTGTATCAGTCTATTGCTATGCCGTTGTTATTTTAGTTTAAACTCCAGTGTAATTCTATATCATGACAGTAGCCAAGCAATAAGTCTGAGTTAGAAAACTAAGTTATCCATGAGAAGATGAGCTAATGTTCAAGAGATCTTAGTTTTGTACATAATAACTTCAATGATCTGTGATTACTCGTTGTTTAAAAAATATAGTTTATGTTTAATGTTTGGTTCCTTTAAGATATATTTCAGTCTCCTTAGGTTGTATAAATGTGAAACTTTAAATAAAACGTTTTAAAAATCTATAATAGAAAAGCTCGTCCACGTTCTTGCCATCTTATTTTAACACATACACTGACTGGCCACCTTATTAGGACTCTCTCCTTCCAACATTTGTAAAACAAGGAAAAACTATTTATTTATGTGCATATATACAACAATAGACTTGATTAACTTATGTGTTCAGTTATAAATGATAATTTAAACCCTAAAAATATACATGTATAATCATGTTACAGTTAGATACACGACAACAGGTAAGAGCAAGGATCTTTTCGAATTTCTACCAGAACAGCCTTTATCAAAAGCTGTTTCACTGACCAGATGTTATTAGTCTATCAACAATAGTGATAATAAGTCTGCAACAAGACTGCCAACAGACATCATACTACGTTCCAGTTGACCCATTCCTTCAACACTTGTTAATATTGATATTTCCAATCTCATCCTGTGAGAAGGGAATTGCAAATACTTTCACGTGCTAGAACTATTCTGCATTCGATCTAAACTTGTAAAGTTCCACTTTTTATGTTGACGGGCCGGGCTTGGCTAATAGTTAGAGTGCAGGGCTACAGAATAGAATATCTAAGGCTTGAGCCGCGATATACAACTGAACATGCTTCGTAATTGCAACTGTTTAGTGTGTAATAACTGTGACTTTCGATTCTGCTATTTGGTTTAAAGCAGCCGTGAAAGCTACGGGTGCTGGTGATTGGTTGCTCTCCCTCTGGTTAGCAGTTCCAGATTAGAGATGGCTACGCCCGAAACTTGGGGTCTCTGACCTGGTCGTTTAGTCCACGTTGAGTTTGATGATACTGAATGTTTAAAATTTAAATCCTACAAATAACTGCCTACCAGATCTTGACATGTTAACCAAGTTTGTGTAACCATTAAGTTTCTTCTTATCTCACCAGATCGTCTTCTTAATTAGTTGCATAAATATTAACGTCACATAATTACTAACTATTTCTTTAATCTTTTAAAACTAAAACAAATACGTTATAGGATAGTACGCATCAATACATTATTAAAAGGGACAACAACAACAACTGTTAAAACAGAAGATAAACATAAAATATTACTGTTTCACATTAATTATTGAGTGTCTGATTCCAAAAGCGACTAAAGCTAAGTTTTAAAAACAAAAATATCGTTGAACATAATCGTAAGATCTAACGTATACCAAACAAGAATAAATGCACAATACTAGACAGTTATCCATTTAATAACGTTTCTGGAGATACAAGTCTAACAAATACGTAAACAGAGCGGTGTTCGCGACTTGTAAGATGTTACAAGAATGAATGTCTGGACTTCACACCTCGTTCTTCCAATACAGATGGTGTTCTGTCTGATAGTCTTGGTTATGGACTACTGTTCTGCAAGAAACTTCTGATGCTTCTATTGAACTCTTCTTCTTCTTCTGCTTTTTAAAGTCCACCAACCGTACAAGGGTGACGACCCGCTCGAGAAACCCGAAGAAACAGAAGTCTACAGGACCTGCTAATGGAATAGCACGAATTCTTTTTTGTACTTGCATCTTTCGGAAGAGCTGGCAGTTGATACGAACGTATTACTGGATGCTTTATTTTGTTGGACCCATCATTAATTGCCATTCAGTCCTCAGTAAGATGGTATTACGTACTTTTTGTTGTTTCAACACATACATAGTTCTTTAATTATAATGATCAAAACACGCTACCTATTTCCTCTCGCTATACTCCACAGAAATGATTTTTGATTGAAATTTCTATCATTTCGTAATTTATTCATAGCTCCCTCTATAAAACTAACCAGCGACTGTTACAGAAAATAACGAGTTTATATTATTTTGTACGGAAAAAAAAATGTAAAACTATGAAGGAAGAATATATTGTACACATTCACTTACATAGAAACTTTCCGAGATAACAAAGAGAGCACCGAATCTTCTAAAATGTACAGAAAACATTTTATACGGATATTAGAAGTAACGTTTGAAAAGAACAATACTTAAAACAGTAACGCCTCTTTCAAAATTTAATGAAGGTCACTTAACATGTAATTCTTGCTTTTTTTAAAATAATTATATATGAGGTTAAATCTACACAACTGTCGAACAATCTTATAAATAAACATATAAATTATTGTCGGAACAGAACAAAAGCATCTAAATATAGATGAAACAAAATTATTGAAAATATCAACGTGTTTAAAACCAATATATCATTAAGGTTTTTATATACCATAAAAATGCAAATATTGAGCAGACTCATATATATATATCTAATTCACTACTTTATATAACTTTATACATTCTAAACTAAGAACAAAATATATTACTGTTTTCTGAAGTTGTTTGTCATCTTCATTAAATAAGAACAAAACAGCTTAATGAAACATGCAAGTCGTAACCATGGCAGCAGCATCTTGAATAACGCTGTTATTGTAAGTAATTTAACAGTGTAAAAACAAACTAATATATATATGTATATATTTCTGGTATCTCTTCAGCCCAACGCATTTTATTGTTAGTAACAAGGTGGGTACTTACCTTATAAGCTCTATAAACTCTTTTTTTTTCTTTTGTCTGAAGCACTGGTAAATAACCATTTAAGTTTTACAACCCATGATGTACTAGTACTAATGTCTTATGCCAAATATAATTAATTACAATCCTGCCTCGCCAGTTTGTAAAAGGTGTTCACACCATAACGATTGTTGTTATAACAAATGGTTTATATAAATAGTGTTCCGACCACTATTGTGTTTGTTCTATCTCAGCCGGATTGAAGAGCTTAGGATTGAGTAGTGCGTACCTGTACGACATATAAATTCGTCGCTCTCCAACTCAGCCCAATAGTTCGCTTTATTAGTCAATCGGGCAATCGTAGCTTCCCTTCGAATTGGCGCCTTGTGCGAACGCACCGCTCGCACTACCACGGTACGGTCCTGGGATTGAGGGGAACGCGTCGTCGGCAAAGGATACAACGAAAATAGCGTGGTTGGAATACTATTATGATACAATCTTCTAATTTTTGAAAATCTCTATGGGACTAAGTATGGAATGTAATGTTTAAAAAATATAATAGTCCTAGTACTAATGTCTTATGGCAAGTATAATTAATTATAACCATGTTTCGCCATCTTGTAGAAGGCGTTCGCACCATAAAAGATGTTTTATTGTTACTAGCAGGAAAGAGTATCCGTACGATAAACTTTCTAACCGAAGTGTTTTATAGCTAGTTGTAGAAGGGAATAACCACATGATAAACTTTTTAACCTAGATGTTTTATAGCTAGTTATAGAAGAGAATAACCACATGATAAACTTTTTTAACCTAGGTGTTTTATAGCTAGTTGTAGAAGGGAATAACCACATGATAAACTTTTTAACCTAGGTGTTTTATAGCTAGTTGTAGAAGGGAATAACCACATGATAAACTTTTTAACCTAGGTGTTTTATAGCTAGGTGTAGAAGGGAATAACCACATGATAAACTTTTTAACCTATGTGTTTTATAGCTAGTTGTAGAAGGGAATAACCTCATGATAAACTTTTTAACCTAGGTGTTTTATAGCTAGTTGTAGAAGAGAATAACCACATGATAAACTTTTTAACCTAGGTGTTTTATAGCTAGTTGTAGAAGAGAATAACCACATGATAAACTTTTTAACCTAGGTGTTTTATAGCTAGTTGTAGAAGAGAATAACCACATGATAAACTTTTTAACCTAGGTGTTTTATAGCTAGTTGTAGAAGGGAATAACCTCATGATAAACTTTTAACCTAGGTGTTTTATAGCTAGTTGTAGAAGAGAATAACCACATGATAAACTTTTTAACCTAGGTGTTTTATAGCTAGTTGTAGAAGGCAATAACCACATGATAAACCTTCTAACCGAAGTGTTTTATAGCTAGTTGTAGAAGGGAATAACCACATGATAAACTTTATAACCGAGGTGTTTTATTGTTAGTAACGTATGAAAATCATCCATAAGATAAACTCGTCAATCCAAAGTATTTTATATTGAATAGTATCAGAAATACCAGCGTGGTAAACTCTCTACTAAGGATGTTTTGTTTTTAGAGGTAATAGGAAACTTCCAATTAAGTCTAACATTTACACCATGAAGTAATATAAGCTATAACATGAAATAAATTTAGTTTACATATGTATTTTACAGCAAAAGATATTAAACTGGCATACAAAGATTGTTTTGATGAGGATGTTTAAGGCTGAAATATCCAAGCTATAAAGTATGCAAATTGTTAAATAATATTCAAACCAAAATGGATAATAAAATAAACAACAAGCTTTCTTCTAAACTCTGCATCTGAGCTATAGTCAAGAATATAGCATTTTCTTTATTCTTTTTTGTAATCTACCGAGACTTTCTAAAACATACGTCATAAAACAAATTTTCGGTAATAAAACATTTACTGATGTCATCAACAGTTGGCGATAATGTATGTTTTCGTTACAGAAAGCGGCATTTTTTGTAATATCACGGTTTGCTGCTCATTTCATATACATGTACAAAACTCGATGACATTCTTTACCACGAGAAAGCGCACTGACACCAAAGAGAATGCCCCAGAACAACTGATAGTAGAGTAAAAACACTTTAGTCTGGCTTCCTTACCAACTCTATATTGTGTAAACTGTAAACACTTCAAAAACGTAGGTTTTTGAATAATTTTGAAAATTTTCATTGAACATGAAATGTGTTCCTTTCTAAAATAGAAAAGAAAAGAAACATCTTGAACAATACAGTTCTTTTTTCCATTTGCCTTTTGTCGCCCTTAGCAATCTCTATCTTTAAAACTTTAAAACAGGCGAAAAACAAAACAAAAAAGTGTCATGATCATGAATCTGCAGTAGGTTGAATAAACCCCTGTAAGGTACTTACACAACACGACACGTTGGCGGGACAGGCAACACAATCTATTAACAAAGGTCAAATTTAATAATTTCGTTTTCAGTTTACTTACTGATTATAA